GGGAGGTTAAATGATCTCTCTCGAAAACTAGGCGAAAGACATGTTTCGTCTGTTTTTTTTCCCTCTATTTCTTTTGTTTTTTCTTTAGGGGGTGCTTTTTTCCCGCGTTAGGAGATGACTTATAGATACCCAGTGGGAAAACTCGGTTGCCTTTCTTCTTTCTTTGTTATATATTCTTTTGTCTTTTGTTTTTTTCCGTCCTTGGAGGTTTGTTTGGCCTTGGGATTGGAGTGGGGAGGGACATGCGCTGATCTTTAGGGATAAAGCTATTCAGGATGGGTGGACAGCTTTGGCTCATGGTTTTTGTTTCGCTTGTTGGCTGCTGGCGCTTATTTCCTAAGACGCTATAAATGATGCTGTTTTTTGTTGTCTATATAATCTCCTTTCGCGTATGGCTTCTTCAACGAGCCTAGGGTTTGGTGGGGAAGAGTGTTGGTTAAGGGGGTGGTGTACATAGAAGTTCTGGGGGGAATGAATATATTAGAAGGTTTTTATGGGTTTGAGAGATTGCGTGACTGTTTGTGATAATCTTGTCTGTGACGCTACTGTTCATCATGTTGTATGATGATATTGTGTCTGATGTTGTGTAAGTTGTATGATGTTGCTCTATGTGATGTTGCTATTGGTTGTTTGTATGTTGTATAATGGAACGGGGTGTGTACATTCAGTGAATTAATGCTCGTGATTCAATATCTGATAGCCGTTGGTGAATATTATTTCGATTTCAATTCACTCCAGGCGCAAAGCGGCGAGATAATTTGTATACGTGTATTAATGCTCCCAAGTTAAATTCATAAGTCCGTACCCGATATCCCATACATGTCCCCCCTTAATTTTCACACTCATCGCCCAAAAGAAAACGTAGGTTCCCATCATTATATGCTCCCCCTTCTATCATACCCTTTTTGTTTTCCAACATTGAAACACATGGAACATATCAATTTCCCCCAGTATTCTACTTTCTCCTGGAAGACCTTGTGCGGCCGAGAATCTCTGGTGGTGCTGCTTCCACGGCACCGGTCATCCTGCTCATTAGCATGGCTTTCGTCTCCATAGCCTCAGGATCACGGTATTCAAGCTGCGTCGCGGGGGGAGACTGTCTCTGCAACCGCTCCTCATCGACATCTTCGTCCTGCAGCGCCCGTGGAGGAAGAGCAGCGCTGTCGATGCTGGCGGCGCTGCTAGCATTAGAAGCGTTGCTAATAGCGCGACCGAGGATCTTGTGGCGACGACGACCGAGGGCACGAGGGCCGGATTGTTGGTGAGGAGCGGAATTGGAGTTGGCGAGGGAGGTGGATGTGAGAGGGGGTATGAGGTCGGAGAGGGCTGATGTGAGGCCTTGGCGAAGCTCGGCTGCTGCAGCAAGCTGGCGTTGTTTTTCAACTTGGTCGGCGGATGGCTCTTGTTCTGTTGGGGCTTCGGGGGGTGCTTGTTTTGTTGCTTGTTTTGTTGCTTCAGGGGCTGCTTCAGGGGATTGCTTAGGTTGTGGTGCGGATAGCTCTCTGGGCTCAGAGGCTGAAGTAGGACGAGAAGGTGCTGGGACTGATTGTTCCTGGGGTTGGGGCAGCTTTGCTGGCGCGGATATGATGCGAGAAAGGGGAGTTTTGGCTGCCGGCAGCTTTGGCGACACGTTGAGCGCGGCCGACGACAGCTCAGTCAGAGGAGGCGTGTCGGCCGTCCACAAAGTGTTGACCGGATGGGTTCGTGCCGTCAGAAAGTCTGCTGACGTGATAGACTCGAGCGTCTGCTTGGCGCGGCTCTTCCCAGGCAAGTCTTTGTCAAAGGCTGCGGTGTCGACGCTTTGCTTGGGAGGCTTTGCCGCGGGTTTCGCCTCTGGCGCCCTTCGAAGCGGCTTTTCCGGCGCAGCATCGTCTTCTTCGTTGACAAAGGGGTCTCGCTTGACGCGCCGTTTCTTGATCTCGGGGTAGACAAAGTCTTCAATGGGAACCAGACTGCCGCTGGATATGCATTCCCACAGCCAGTCTGCCGAAACAACGGGCACGCCCCAGTCGAGCGCGCACTTTAGTTTTTCTCTCCGCATTGACATGAGAGATTTGCAGACGAGTACGTTTGTTGACCGCCGGAATGATTCTTCGTATTTGCCTCCCAGCTGGGCTACGCTCCTCGCAACTTGATTGAGCTCTATGCCGGTAAACGCGGCGCTACACACGGTTATGCTTGAAAACGCGGGGATGGGGAACAGGGGGAACGGTCGCCCGAGGACCTGTTCATTGGGATTGAAGAATCGCTTGTTATGCAGACAGTTTTCGATGTAGAATTCGGTAATGATGTGAATGTGCTCGTTTGGCACTTTGGGATGTGTGTCGGGTTGGGAGGTTTGGGGGACGATGAGGAATCGGTAGTGTTCGGGGTCTGTCGGCTGGGATAGCATAGCTGGGGATTGCAACGACGAGACAATTGTGCCGCTGAGGGTGGCGATTGTCTGCTCCAGGATGGTTGCTCTCTGCTGTGGGAATCCGTGGACGACAAAAACGCAATTGGCAAAGACGCCCTGGTCCTCCTGGAGAGAGTAGCCGGGCTGCGTGGGAACTTCAGAGATTGGTATCGGAGGATCTGCTGAAGCAGCGGCTGGATCAGGACCCAAGGTCGGTGCTCCGGGAGGATTCTCGTGGGCAAACGAATACTCTCTTGACGCAGACCGACCGAGTATGTCGCCCCAGAGGTCGTTTCTCTGCGAGCTCAGCTTCATGCTGGCAGTCTTGCGCAACTTCCTCATGCCTTCATCTGGCCCTCCGTTCAGCACCGCCGACCTTGCCCTCTTCCCCAAGGCTGACCTCTTTGGATCTTTCTTGACCCATGCGCCAACGCCTTGCTCTTCCGCAGGTAATAGCGGATCAAACTTTGTTTCTTCCAAGATCATGCCGCGTGCGACAGTTTGTTCGAGCCAATCCAGAGTAACCGTGTGTACCCCCCACGACTTTGCCGCTGTAAACTTTTTGCCCTCTGGCTTGCTGACAATCAGATGCGAGCATCGCCTGGTCAGATCCCCGGTATAGCGACCGCCGTTTTGCATAATCATCTCTGCAATCTGGTCCCTGGTGTCGCCGAACCCCGTCAAGCAGATGAGCAGCGATCCCCGCGCAGCTGGCGAGGTTTCCTCCTGCGACGAGGGCTCAACACCGCTCGTCTCCAGCGCCTTTAGCTGATAGCTGTTTTCCAGTGCGACAAAATCGAATTCCTCGTCATTCTTCCACAGCTCGTTGACGGCGTTGATCCAGGCGGCGTCCATGGCCTTGATGTCGACTCTTTCGCGGGCGACATGGCGATACTTGGGCGTGTCGTAATCGCCGACAACGAGATGCGTCACGTCGGGGGTGAGATCGTACTTGTGCAGGCCGCCGAGCTCGGCCACCTTTTGGGCAATGTCTGTCTGTTGGCGGCGAGGTTAGCAGAAGGGTTGGTGATGGTGATGGCGTTGCTGGGACGAAGACGAAGACGAACCCGTTGGTCAGGCGGGATGCTGGTGCAGCAGACAATGACGCCCTTGAACGGCACCGAGGGGTCGAAGCCGTAACCTTCATCCTCTGAAGAGTGCGATGCCATGGCTCATGACATGCTGGTTTGGCCCGGATCATGCACACAAAGATGCATGAAGCAGCCACTATATGTCTGTGTGAATGCTCGATAGTGGATATGGAGCACTGCGATACCAGCACAGAGGCTAGACGCGTCTCAGTGCTTGTACACAACTAAAGCGCGTTGATTGAAGTGCCTAAAGGGAGTTGATACTGTGTTTTCGGTGGGGAGTCTGCGGTTACAGTGGGTTAAGTAGTGGTAGCTGTACAGTGTGGCATCAATGTTGTTGCACTCATTCACTGTTTGTGACGATGCCCGGCTCTTTGTACTCTATTAGACGCTCCGATGATGATACCGATAGTTTACTTGCTAGAGTGAATCAACGCTGTGCTCTGTACGAGAGAATGCATTCAAGTATCACAACGTTGAATGTTTGAAAGTAGCAGCGTTATGCTTTGCTCTGGGCAATTGTATCTGCAACATTTTGGATACAGTCCCACTCATGTTCGAGTACCAGGTACACGTACTGGATCGGCAGATCTTCACAAGCACCGTGATGTCTTGCATTTCGGCTTACAGTAGTATACTGGGTGAGACTGGCTGGGGATTCTCCCAAGCTGAACGGCATGCAACTTGGACGCATGTGAGCTCCAGTGACTCGTCCAACTGCCCGTAATTCATAGTTGAGCTCTACGTAGGTTCAAATAAATCTGATCCAATGAAACCTGAGGCAGCATCCAGTCGTGACGCTTATTGAAGCTCAATGTCCAAAATGGCAGCTGGAGATTCAAGGTTCAAGGCCCTCACCACCTACAAGTTGCGATTACACCAAGCCTCGCCCTCTGTATTGAGGCAGTTTTAGGTGCCCAACCTGCTGAGCCGCCGCCTGTAGCCAATTAGCCGCCCAAGCTCCTCCAAGGTTAGTACCTAAACCCCACCATCGCAGCCTTGCGTGAGTCGATCCAAGCCCGCTCTTCTGCTCTGCTCTGCTCTGCCCTTTGTCACAAGCAAGGCAGAAACCACCAAGCTGCGAGCATCCTCCCCTCCTCCCCCGCATCCTCTCGACCCTCTGTCCTCTCTTTGCCGTCATCTCATAGCGGACAGACGCACTCGACTCGCCGTCTTGGTGTCCTCTGCAGCTGCTCTCGGCGTGCACAACCGCTCTCCGCCACCCATCACCCATTCACAGGCTACGACTCGTCGACAACGGCCACCTGTACCGACGACGACGACGCACGATCGATCGACACACTCGCACTCGCCAGCAGCATCTCGTCTCCTGCTGGCAGAGGCTAAGCGTCAGACCAGCAACAAGCGACCAGCGACCAACGACCTACATACGAAACCACGGCCTACGATCGTTCGGGGCACTCGGTGCTTTATTCGACAGCTACAGCTCCTTCAAGGTCCTCGTGTGACCCCGACAAATCTCCCACCTCGCCGACCTTCCTCTTCCCGCCACGATGCCTCCCCCTTCGTCGGCGCAACAAAAGGTGCTACTTGCACAGTTCGTCAACCTTACCGGGGCCACGGAACGTCAGGCGACTCGGGTATGTCAGATAACGTTGCTTTTCCCTCGTGCTTGTCGGTGACCTGGCCGAGCCCAACGGCCAACGGGGTCCCTCCCTCACCTCCATGCATCACAACGTCTCGCTTGGGCTCATCCCGGGTCAATGGGCCGGAATTAAATTGGGGCATGAGGCTGGCATGAGGCTGACCCTGCTCTGCCGGCCCTTTCGGCTTCTGGCGCCTGCTGGACGTGAGGCTGGGGCCCACGGCAGAGCAGTCCTGCATCCCAAAGTGGTGTTTCCTCAACCCGTCTGTTCGGTCGCTAATTTAGGTGGTGTGCAGTATCTCAAGTCGACTGGCTACAAGCTCAACGAGGCCGTGGATGCGTAAGTGAACCCCTGGCTTGTCTGTTTATCACTGCTACTACTGCTATTCCCGAGCCTCAAATCTCCGCCTTTGTTTTCCCGAATATGTTTCCCTTCCCCCCTCCCCTCCTCTGGCTCTCCCCTTCCAGTCCGTCGGATATTCCTCGAATCAGACTCCTCACGGCGCTTCTCGGACAATTTCGTGTGAGATGATGCATCGCCAGGCTTCCAATGTTGTTATCGGTGTGGATTGACTGTGGGGGTCCCACTAAGGCGAAGCCCGCCCGTCTTGTCGGACACTCACCAGAGTATGGCCGAGCGCCGCCGATGCTACTGAAACAGAAACGTCAGAAAGCGACAGCATGCCAAGATGCTACCTTGCAAGATCGTATTATCCTATTGTTGGCTTCTGGATGCCTCAATCATCCATATTCAAGCACGCCTTATTGCCATTTACCTGGCTCCCTGGCGTGCCCGGATCTCTTGAGAGCATCTTCTTGACGAACCCGCGAAGTCCACGCGCTCCTTGGCTTTTGCGTTAATTTGCGCCCTTCTTCTCGTGGAAACCTTTGGCCTCCTGTGACCACTTCGGTATCGATCGACCCGGACTCTTCGCATTAGCCTTTTTTAAACATCCCTAAATCTGATATCGCGCGTATCACCAATAAAAATTCCCGGCTGGTGTCTTACTCTAGACGACAACGACGACGACTTCAACGACACCGACTACGACCCAGCGCTTCGGGGACGTATGCATCCCGTGCATCGGGCCTCAGAATGATGCTGGGTTGGAAAGGCGTCAAACATCATCTGCCCTCCAAAGTCGCAAAGGCCGTCCCCCATTGGTTGTCTAAGAAGAAACGGGAGAATCATGGCGCCGACACCTCCACCAAGGATCAATCCGGACGGTATTATTCACTCCTGGTTGGGATGAACGGGGACGAGCATCAACATCTGCACACGAAAGGTCGATTCTACCTTGGCCAAGATGGACCATTGGCAATCTGCTGCTTAGTGGTGGCGTTGCACAATCTCATTTCTCTCTTTGCCACTCATAGCCCAAGATGCACGGCTTGCTCGGCGCCAACTGCTAACATGCTGCATCTAGGTTTTACATGAACTCGGCCAGTGAGACCAAGGGTCCCTCTCCGTTGGATGCGAAACTGGACTCTCTATTCGACTCATTAAGGGGTAAGCTTTTATGCTACCTGCGTGAGTTGCCTGTTGTATGCTTACCACCCTTGGTTAGATGACGAAGCCGATGACAAAGACCAGCTGGAGCTGGAGTCGACTATGGGCTATCTGAGCGAAAAGCTCAACGTCAGTCTAGAAAACGCGGAACTGTTTGTAGTCCTGGAACTGGTGCAGGCCCCTAGTGTAGGTGAAATCACCAGAGCAGGTTACATTGACGGTTGGAAATCAAGCGGGTAGGTCTTGAGGCGGAATTTTCTCTCATCAAATCATCAGCTCTAAAGCAGAGACGTACTTACTGTTGGTAGGGCTGGGGCATCGCATCAAGAGCACGCCGCTCATGTACGGAAACTCATATCTGAGCTGTCTCGTGATACGGCATTGTTCAAAAAGGTTTACAAATACGCCTTTGTTGCTGGTCGTGAAAAGGACCAGAAATCCCTGGCTTTGGACAATGCTCTGATCTACTGGAGCATGCTCTTCTCGGCACCTGGCGTGGAATGGAAGGGCAAGCACGACTGGTTGGATCTGTGGAAGACATTCTTGGGCGAGAAGTGGACTCGATCTGTCAACAGGGACATGTGGAATATGATCTTGGAGTTCGCCCTGAAGAGCGTCAACGACGAATCCTTGTCGTTTTGGAGCGAAGACGGCGCATGGCCAAGCGTTATTGACGACTTTGTCGAGTGGTGCAGGCAGAAGGGAATCGGAAAGCCCGAAACTATGGAAGTCGATGGTCAGTGAAGCTAGATGACCAACACATACACAACAACCGGCCTGGGATACTGCGTATCGGGCACACTATTGGCTTGGCGGGGATGGATCTTCATCTTTTTTTATTATGCAGACACCCGCGAGGGAAAGGGGGCAGGCTTAGATGACTTGCTAGGCGAGACTGAGAGGATACCTCGGCCGGCTAGCTTCCGATTTTGCAATGTCATAGACTTATAGCGACCATTATACGAAGCACGGATTGACCCAAAGATGAATTGATAGTGGTCTTTTTCCATTGTACCGTCCACATGGCTATTCATATGAAAAAGGACCGTCTAGATTGATCTTCTGACATGTGACATTTATCATTTCTCCGTAAACACCCAAGGGTTTTTTGTACAGGATCATTCCGGATGCTTCATCTCCCTTTTCCCTAAAATCGAACAATATCGCCAAGCATGATAGGTTCCCTTGCCCCCCTGGTCGATGCCACCTCTTTTTTTATATCATCATAATCTTACACGAGGCAAAGTGCATATGGGAATCCCCCTCTCTAGCGTATGTACACTCTTCCCAATTGTATCATTTTGATTCCACGCCAGCAAAAAAAGTTGAAAAAGAAATTCGAACAAAATCGTTAATTTACGCCTCGCTGCCCTGAGTCCTCCACTTGGGCGGCCCAAACCTCGACACGGTCTCAAGCTTGCCGTCACCAAGCTTAACATGCGCGGCACGAATCATGCGCGGCTCAAGACGTAAAGTCGAACGGACGTCGTGGTGCACTCGCGGGGAGGAGTCGTAGCGCATGACGAAGTAGTGGCCGTGGGTGTGCTTCATCTGGTGGATGGAGATTGGTTTTGGGAGGGAGAAGACGCCCCAGTTGGAGAGGCCGCGGATGACGCCGCCGTTTTTGAGGACGAGGGAGCCGACTGTTTGGGCGATTCTATACGGACCCCGTTAGAATATTGAAGAAGGAGGAGGTTTTGAGGGACGAAGGAGGAGGTTTTGAGGGACGAAGGAGGAGGTTTGAGGTTGAGGTTTTGGTGATGAGGACGTACTCTTTTACCTCGATGAGGTTGCCCGGCCGGACCTGGAGAAAAAGTATGAAGTTAGTAAGATTCGAATTAATTGTTTCGAGGGAAAGTGGAGGATTTGCTTACAATGGCAATGAGTTCGTAGAGCATCTTTGCGACAGTCTACGGGGAGAGTCTGGAGGAAGTGTTTGGGGAGGGACATGCGACCTTTGCGGGATGGGTTGGTTGAAATTCTGAGCTGGCTTGCCATGCCGAGGTTTTGCCGTGGTGAAGGTGTGACGGCTTCCAGAAGACGGTCCGGCGCTTTGGAGCTCGCTCTTAGTGGGTTAGTTATGTGATGAGTTGAGGGTTTGTGAGGATGAGCTGTATAATGGTGCATTGATTCATCTCAATGAGGATTTCATACATAATATTACATGACTATTGTTACAGCTACACACAAAGTAGCAAACATTGTTTGTTGTTTTACAGAATCATCTCATTCATTCATCTATATCCTCTCCTTGGACAGAGCTTGCCAGATGCCCCACGGCAGCCTCCACCCGCTGCTCTTGACGGCAAACGGGTCAAAGTTGGCCTTTTCCAGGTTGAGCAGCCATTGAGCCGCGGGGACGGCCTCGAGGAGCACGCCAAAGCCTCGCCGCACATCGCGAGTGGTGTCACTCTCCTCGTCATACTGATACTGGTGCTCGCCCTCGCCCTGATGCTCAAAGTCGTGGCCGGGATCCTGCCCCGCTTTTAACCTCTTGAGCATCTCCCGCGCTGTGATGAGATGGTCATTGGCGCGCGTGGCCACCCTGAAGACGGCATCCTGTAGCCCGGGCGCGTTGGGGCCCTGCCGGAAGACGTGCTCCTCGACGACACCCTCCTCGGCCAAGATGTCGAGGGGCAGCAGCAGGGCCTGGTTGCGGTTCGGGGTTTCGAGGCCGGAGGGCGTCTGGACGGGCTGCGCGGGGGCGGCGAGGACGGGCACTCCCCGAAGCACAGCGACGATGCCACACGCCTTGCCGATATGGCTGGCCAGGTGATCCACGTGCATTGACCGCAACGGCATGGATGCCAAAGTCGCATACAGCATCGTGGAGTACGTGTGCTCGGCATAGTCTTCCAGAGCGGCCAGGGTTGCGAAGGGCCGATTGTCCATGTGCCTCTCCCGCGTTCGGATAAGGCGCGAGACCCAGAATTTGATCGACTTTGTCGTCGACGAGCCGCCGGCCCGTTGTGAGAGCTGCTGCAGCGCCTGGTGGAGCAGGATGCAGATTGGCTCGCGCGGAGGCTGCCCGGAAAACGTCTTGTCGATAGATTCGTGCCAGAATTTCATGCGCATGACGCCAATGGTGGGATTGGACACCATCTCGGGCAGCCGGACGAGCTCGAGGTTGAGTGCGCGGAGGGCGGCGTATGTGTCCTGGACGGGAGGAGGCATGAAGCGGCGGATGAGGTGAGCATCGTAGTCGCTTGTCCTGCAGACGGGAAAAGATTAGAAAAAAAAAACATATTTTTTGAAGAACAATGCCAATGCCAGTCAGTAATCAACGTACTGAAGCTGCTTCAAGCAGTACCGTCGAGCCGATTCGACGTCGGCCTCGGTCACGTAGCTGCGACGGCTCCGCGGAGCATTGACGAGCCTTTTCAGGCCATTGCCTCGAGTGAGGATGCTGGGACGATGCATGCGGCGGAACGGGCCGGAACTTCTTCACTCAAGCTGCCACCATCGTTGGTGATGGCTCGGCGAGAGTCGCATTGCATTGTGCGACAAAAAGAGCTGCAACTTTGAGAGCCCAGATATGGCCAGCTCGTGATTGGCTGGGCTATTACGCCGACGGACAAATGGGGCAGTGGTTTAAATGGGCGTGACGCGGTCATGTGACCTCTCTACACGGTCGCGACATTGCTGCAGTTCCGGCGCGTCTCCCAGCGGATTAGCGGCAGGTTTGATTGCACTGGACTGTAACGGTCACATTCACGAATGAGGCCCGCCACAGCAGCATGGAGCTGGGATCCTCGCAAGAGCCGCCGATAAAGAGGCGCAGATTCTTCAAGGACCCGGACGAGCCCTCGTCGGATCCGGTGTTTAGCCCCAAGCACGAATTCAGCTCGTCGTTGGAACCGAGGCGGTTCTTCAAGACGGAGGACGAGGATGAAGAGATAACCGGGAAAGAAGAGGCCGATGACGACTGGGAGCCGGAGAGTGAAGGAAGAAGCGTCAATGTCAAGGTTGAAGAGAAGAGCCGAGATGTCTTACCCGAGCTACCTCGAAATGGGTCTGCATCTGGCTCATCAACAGCGAACGAACCCATAGCCCAGCATGAATCTTCAACAGTCACATTTGACAAGGAGACGTTTGAAAGCTTTGTCGGATGCAAAATCGCCGCCAACATCCTGCGTACTATCCAACAACATTGCGGCAACAATCTCGAGCGAGCCGTCAACATGTACTTTGACGGCACCTACAAGAAGCTCCTAAAGTCGAAGCCCGCTGCCTCTGGCCCCAGTCGAACACAATCATCCGATCTGCAGAGCCAGCCCTCCCCGCTTCCCATCCGACGAAACATGCCGACCTCACGATACATTGGTGCTTTTGGCGTCGAGGGATGGGCTACCCGCAGTGGCACAAATCTCCTGAGACATGGCGAGAGGGTCAAAATTGAACGACAAAAGATACAGCCCCCTCCACCTCCAAAGACGAAACCCCGACTAGGAGCTCCACCCACTCCTGTCAAGCTGAACACGGCCGCCTCGAGGCGAGTCGACGTCATCGTGCGATTTACAAATCAGAGCGGCCAGGAAATCGGGCGTCTGGCCAAAGATACCGCCAACTGGGTGTCAACGCTGATGGACCAAAAGATTTGCAAGTTCGAAGGAACTTGTGTGTATTGCCCTGAGCGGACACGAACAAACGACACCATTTTCATCCAACTGAGATGTTCTTTGCTCGACTCTGCGTTTTTCGACCGCAGCTTCAAGCCCGCAAACGATTCCTCGGCTACATGGTTCGAACAACAGATTGAAACAGCACAAGAGAAAGAACTTCGACTCAGACAGGTTGCCCTGGTCAGACTATTTCAGGAGATCAATCTCCAGCCAGTCGTCGCCAATGCTGCAACAAAGGATGGAAGAAAGGGGCTTCTTCAAGCCGCCGAGATGGACGAGCAGAAGCAAAAGGACTCGAAAAAGGCGGCCGTAAATGGCAACAAGGAATCTGGAAATTCATCGCCGTCAGAGGAAGCCGAAGAAGGAGAAGAGCTCGAACAAGACCAACTTGATGCCCTGTATAAAAAGGCTCAGACATTTGACTTTAGCATGCCCGAGGTCGACCCAGCGAGCACCTTTGCCATGACACTACGCCCGTACCAAAGACAATCTCTGCACTGGATGATTGCCAAAGAAAAAGACGAACAGAGCCATAGGGAGCCCTCGATGCATCCGCTTTGGGAGGAATATCTATGGCCCGTCAAGGATGTTGACGACAAGGATCTCCCTACGGTAGAAGGGCAGTCCCAGTTCTATGTCAACCCTTACTCTGGCGATCTGACGTTGGACTTTCCGGTCCAGGAGCAACACTGTCTTGGCGGTATTCTTGCTGATGAAATGGGTCTGGGAAAGACGATTCAGATGCTCAGCCTGATTCACTCACACCGATCAGAGGCTTCACAACAAGCCAGGACATCACCCAAACACGGATTGAACCAGCTCCAGCGGCTGGGCAAGAATTCTTCAAACGTGTTGGAGGCTCCCTGCACTACCTTGGTGGTTGCCCCCATGTCTCTGTTGTCACAGTGGCAGAGTGAGGCTGAAAAGGCTTCCCTACCGGGCACGATGAAGATTCAGCTCTATTACGGTGCGGAAAAGGCACTGAATCTGCAGTCGCTCTGCAGCGGCTCCAACGCCCCAGACCTTGTCATCACCAGCTACGGAGTTGTTTTGTCGGAATTCACCAGCATCGCCGCCAAGAACGGCGACAGGTCCTTCCATACGGGCATTTTCTCTCTCAAGTTCTTCCGCGTAATTCTCGACGAGGCGCATTACATCAAAAATAGGGCGTCCAAGACTGCTCGCGCATGCTACGAGATTGCAGCCGACCACCGATGGGCATTGACAGGCACTCCGATTGTCAACAGACTGGAAGACCTCTTTAGCTTGGTGCGCTTCCTGGGTGTTGAGCCCTGGAACAACTTTTCTTTCTGGAAGACATTCATCACGGTACCTTTTGAATCAGGTGACTTTGTGCGCGCATTAGACGTGGTTCAGACAGTTTTGGAGCCATTGGTCACCAGAAGAACTAAAGACATGAAAACGCCAGACGGCCAGCCCCTGGTACAGCTTCCACCAAAACAAATTGATATAGTTGAGGTAGAACTATCCAAGACGGAGCGAGATATCTACGACCACATCTTCAATAAGGTGAAGAATACGTTTGCGCAAAACGTCGAGGCAGGCACGGTGCTCAAGGCGTTTACGACAATTTTTGCTCAGATTATGCGTCTTCGTCAATCATGCTGTCATCCCGTACTTGTCCGCAATAAAGAGATTGTTGCCGACGAGGAAGAGGCTGGCGCCGCAGCTGATGCCGTTACCGGCTTGGGTGACGATATGGATCTAGAGTCACTGATTACGCAATTTACTGCCATCACAGACGAAGCCACCAACGACAGACAGACGTACGGAGCGCACGCGCTGGACGAGATCCGTAACGAGTCCGAAAAGGAATGTCCACTATGCTTTGACGAGCCGATGAATGAGCAGATTGTCACTGGATGTTGGCATTCTGCCTGCAAAAAGTGCCTGATGGACTTTATCAAGCACGAGACGGATCACGGCAGAGTGCCAAAGTGCTTCAACTGCCGCACGCCGATCAACCAGCGTGATTTGTTTGAAGTGGTGCGTCAGGATGAGACTGACGAACCGTTTGCTTCAGCAAAGCCTCGCTTTAGTCTTCAGCGACTCGGCGTCAACTCCTCTTCTGCCAAGATTGCCGCATTGATATCAGAGCTTCGAACACTACGTCGAGATCGTCCATATATGAAGTCCATCATCTTTTCGCAGTTTACGTCTTTCCTCACGCTCATCGAAGCTGCCCTTACACGCGCCAATGTCAAGTTTCTTCGTCTAGATGGAAGTATGACGCAGCGAGCTCGAGCGGCGGTGCTGCAGCAATTCACAGAGGCCAAAGGCTTCGTGGTGATGTTGATGAGTCTGCGCGCGGGCGGTGTCGGCTTGAATCTCACGAGCGCGGGGCGCGTCTTTATGATGGATCCCTGGTGGAGTTATGCCGTGGAGTTGCAGGCGATTGATCGGGTGCACAGACTAGGGCAACAAGATGAAGTGGTTGTCAAGAGATTCATTGTGAGGGGCAGTGTGGAGGAGAGGATGTTGAAGATCCAGGACAGAAAGAAGTTTATGTAAGTGGATGATCTTTTCTTTGAAGCATCGCAAGACTAACTGCTCCCGCAGCGCGACGTCATTGGGCATGATGAACGACGAAGAGAAGAAGCTCCAGCGGATTGAAGACATCAAGGAGCTCCTCAGCTAGACGACAGAAGTGGGTTCACACGACACGGTTAACAAAGATGGCATGGTGTTAGAATATACGGCGGCTCTGAGCATGTGACGATCTCATTATCTGGCGCATGGGTTGCTTAAGACGTGTATTTTGTTTGCATGAAATAGCATGGCATGGTATGGCATTGCATATGATGATTGTAATGGCTGCAATGGGGAAAATGATGTATATATGATTGGCTGGATTTGGCATTCGAGTAATTTTACTCGTACGAAAAAGGATAGACGACATGTCGAAACGAGAAAGAGAGCGATGGCCCAGCTTGGGGGAATACGAGCCGGGTAAACAGAGCTTTAGCCCAAATCGCAAAAGGGCCCAACCAAGCGTAGTATTGAATGTGTCAAGATGTGAATCTTTGAATGGTGCTCCGTAAATGCATCACGAACGGCGGATGGGCTCGGATGATCATTGCGGAAAGCGGGTTGTCATCCCCACAGAAGTCCCCGGTGAGGGTTCTGATCAAATATAACTTTATTTGCTGGGTTGTTTCAGGATGGACGATGGGGACGAGTGGCGAGAGAAGTGCGCGAATATGGACATCTCGAAGATTGTTTTGTCTGTCAATTGTTTTTCTCTGTGCTTCTTTTAGTCGGATATTCGAAGGAATTGGGCGTGTGGTGAATACACACTTTCGTCAGCAACGAACCACATGTAAGACGAAGATGGTGTTGTGCAGGACCCTGCGGACTGAGGCTATTCAGGGGTAACCCGGTCACGACGGCGGGGCCGCACCAACGCCAGCAGAACCAGGGGTGTGTACGAAGCATGCAAATTAGCAGCCGAAATTACCGGCCAGGGACCACCGTCCCATACGAGCTGGCGATCTGATGAGGAAAACGGGGATGGACTGTTGTTCATCAAAGGAATACGAGGCGAAGGCCGTGTTGTCCGGGCTTTTGATCTGACTATGGAGTTTACTCCTTTACGAGGCAGTGAGAGCGGTGGCCATTAGGGATTACATACGAAGTATTGCTAGTGCTAGGGACTGTTCGGGTTATGCTGGTTGATGGGCGAATAAATACGCTGATCACCCCCGGATTTCGTCAAGAAAGGAGGAAAAGAGGTTTCTCTTGTTTCTCTCCATCTCCAGTCGCTCTTTAAGCAAAATTCATTTTTTCCAAAAAAAAAAAGACCAACTACAGTCCTTACCGCAAGGTCATCACCCTACAATAATCTTAATACCTATTCCAACGACGATAAAACCCTCCGCAAAAATGAAGTTCTCCTTTGCCATTGTCGCCCTTGCTGGCCTTGTCGCTGCCTCTCCGGCTCCCATTGTTGATGGAAAGCGAGTTTGCGGCTCGGCTAAGCAGGGTCTTCTTGGATGCCCGTTTGGTACGACTTGTGTTCTTACGGATGCTTCTACTAAGGCTGCTACGGGATTTTGCCAGTCTCTTTAAGAGGTGAGTTTTGTGCTGTTGCTGCTTGAGATGAGGAGGAGCGTGTGCTGATGGGATTGTTGTGTGGTTTAGATTTGATGGATTGGATGGGAGCATCGAAAGGAAAGTCGGTGTAATGGATTGATGGAGATGAGATTATTGAAAACAAGCGATTATAAATACTACGACGAAACAAATATAATACGACTTTGCCTTTTGTGCAAAAGTCTTTTGGAGAAAACAAAAGCACAAGAGTTCGCTCTTCCATTGCTGTGATGTCGTTCTCAATACCAATATCGAACGTGTGAAATAAAGTAGCAAAACCCAAATCGCGATGCTTAAAATTCAACTGCCCGATCGATTGACGCGTCTTCTTGAAACGCCCATAGAGTTCTGACGCTGCGAAGATAGACTTGGCTCGTTTAGGAATGTCATCGAGACGGAAATCTGTGTGGGCACATCCGTTTCGTTGTTACCACCCCGATCTAAGAAGGTGCGGATTCTTTTTTTGGGAATGAGTTGAAAGTGGATTATTTTCCGGTAGTTGGAGATTTTGCTGATGGTGTTACATACATGCAGCTTATGCCGTAGTACTGGACCCCGGATTTTGGTGGCGTTTGGTGAGTTTGGTGATGTTTTGTGTTATTTCCTATTTAGGTAATAAGCAGGTTTTGTGAGAACGTCATTGCGATGAGGGAAAAGTATTTATTTCGCACAAGTCTGCTGTGCGATAATTAATTGAGCTTCATCTTCAACTTCTTCGGATTACAATAGAGACTATATTTCAATCCAGTCAAGCTACCTCTACACAATGGACCGCTACGCTGCTGCTCATGCTTCTCGCAACGGCCCGGGAGACGCTCGTCCAACTGCTCTCCAGATTGTCGCGGACGAGTTTCAATATGGCAACACTGGTAAAGACAGCTTATCAGAGTTGACTATTGTGATTACTGGCGCAACTTCTGGTATCGGCTACGAGGCTGCTCGAGCTCTCTATTCCACCGGCGCGAAGCTCTTCATCACGGCGCGCGATGCTGACAAGGCAAAGAGCGTCATTGAGAAGATTGTGTCAAGCGTTTCACCAGTCGAGGGAAGAAAGTATCAGAAAATTGAATTTGTCTCTATGGATATGGTCTCTCTGGCTTCTGTGAGACAAGCTGCAGAGGAGATTCTTGCCAAAGCAGAGCACATTAATGTCTTGATCAACAACGCTGGTATGTATAAACTGTCTCTGATTCCATTTTAAGTTATCAGATTCATTATTACTAACATTATTGTCTCCAAATAGGCGTTGCGTTTGAGCCTTTTGAACACACAGAAGAAGGGTTACTACGGACCTGGGCCGTAAACTATGTCGCACCATTTCTTCTCACATATCTCTTACTCCCACGCCTCGAAGCCAGTAGCACCAAATCCCGTCGTTCCCGCGTCGTCAACTTGAGCACCACAGGACACAGATTATTCCCCGTCCATCTAGACGATCCAAACTTCAGAAAGACGCCATACGAGCCCATGTCCGCCTACGCAACATCTAAACTCGCTGTCATCTACAATGCCAACTTCATCGATCGACACTTTTCCACTCGTGGAGTCAGGGCCGTCTCGCTTCACCCGGGGACTGTTCATACTCCCTTGTATGCAGGATACGCAGCTCAGCAGACGGATAAGGCTGATGTGCCGCCTGGGTATATGGAGGAGCTCAAATCTGTAGAGCAGGGCGCGGCTACGACTGTTTTCGCAGCTATTGCGTCGTGTTTGGAGGAAAAGGGCGGGGTGTACTTGGAGAATTGTTCGTATGGAAAAGAGGCGACGGCTGAGTTTGGCATGATGGATGGTGGGTATGCGGCTTTTGCGTTTGATGAGGTGGCGGAGGAGAATCTTTGGAAGGAGACTTGTGAACTGTTAAAGGTTCCCGATATCTTGTAGAAGACTACTCAGGTAGTAGAAAGGTTTTTGTTGGAGTGGGTATTATAGAATGTTGAAGCGGCGCTTCTCCACGTTTCTTGCGCCATTCGTTTGTAGATGTGATGAGATCGCAGCATCCATCAATGAGATCATGCCATTTCTGGGCAAATTCCTCTGTGATTTCCCAGTTGTGTGCGTCCCACGAGTTTTCGCCCCATATCATGAAGCCGGGTCTGCTGCAACTTAATTGTAGGCGTCCGACTCCGGTAACATCTTCGCAGAGCTCAGTTTCAAAATCCCACTTCGGTGAAGCAGTTGCTAACCTTCGGAGGAGGTTATCACGGAACTGTGGGGAAGGGATAAGATCTAGCCATGGGTGGTGTGTCTCTTCATATTGTAATGGTGTGGGATGAAGGTTGACTGGTAGAGATGGTTGTGTTATTGATAGATCCAGGTTAGGTGGGGGCGGAGAGAAGTTGGAGAGGGCGTCGTCCTGGCAAACGGTACTCCACGGATAGTTGAGGAGGCTGGCATTTGCAGCTAATCCGCGTATAATGTTATTGTGGACAAGAGTAAGAAGTCGGTGATCGGCTGAGAGGAGAAGGTTCCGCGCAGATACAAAATACGCGCCACATGGAAGAGGTGGTGTTTGGCGCTCTTTGGTTACAGGAAAAGACTCTTTAGTTGGCTTTAGTAATAGGAACTTGCCACGCCGAGCTGAGACTGCTTTGGTGATGCGCTTGTCTTGCTTCGCTTTGGCTGCTTCACGACGGCCTGTGACAAAGGATAAGTCTTCACGATACAAACCTACAGCTAAGGGGATGATGTAATGATGGAGGACGGAGGCTTACGGTAATTGTGCTGAGCCCGACGATTCTGCAGGCGGCGTTTCTCAGCGGGATCAAGTGCATGCGGTTGAGGCTTAGCCTCTGGTGAGTTGGGCTTTTTCATGGATGTACGAGTATAGGTGTAGATACGCTTGACTGATTCAGGGAGGTTTGTGACGATGAGTGTAGCTGTTGAATGGTTCTTTGTTTGGTGCTGGTTTCCGTCTGGTGGGAGATTCGGGGATAAAAGGCCGAGGCGGAGTCCGAATATCTCCACCAGCGTGGAGCGATGAGTATTGCTAGAATAGGAAGTAAGCTTGTCAGGTTGGCGTAAAGCGAACATTTACCCTATATCAATCAGTTGGAGCTTGTTACCAACATTAACATTGTCGTTTTGAAGTAATGCTTTACAATTTATAGTTCATATATTCCTAGACGCTTATCCAAGTCATATCCACAGCACTAACTACTATCTCATTCAGACGCATATCTACTCTAAAAGCATAAATAATGTGCCTGCATCCAAGTGCACTGTCGTTGTCCATCCAGTGTAGTCGTTGTCTGGTGTCGAGCTGCACATATCTTTCGTGGTCAGTGCCGTGCCAACCACTCTCGCCTTTGACTTCGACTTTTCCTCTTGAACAACCCTGACCAAGAGGGCTCTCTTTGCAGACGGAACTCGAAAGACGACATCATTCTGTTGGACGAGACTCGAGGCGAGACCCATCTTCCGTTGTGTACGATTGCCATCTTTAGCCAAGTATAGCCGGGGCTGGACTGGTGCTAATCGGTCTGTGACTTCCTGTGGCTTCTGCTTCCATTTGAAGGTAGTGGTCTTTGTTACTTGATGAACCCGCCTAATATAGTCTTGTACGCTTTCCAGGTGGTGGGATTGGTAACCCAATGTGTTTCTCTGCTCCCAGACGACAGGACTTGGCCTGTTAAAGCACGCCTTCTCAACCTCGGATTCGTCTGATTCTAGAAGGGCGTGGAGTAATTTATCGTACTCTTGATGAGCTGATCCTAGTTCATCCGCTGGAAAAAGACGTTGTGTAGCAGTGCGCCACCGAGTCGCCTCATCAGGTCCAGAGACGACATCATTGGCTGAAGGTCCAACACAGACGATGCACCCAATTGCAGCTGCCTTGAGGCGGAAGACCAGGGGACTTTTCGGATTGTCGAGAAGCTGGGTTGAATCTACTTGGTCTTTGTGCTCTTTCGAGAGCTGACTAAGGGGATCGCCATGATTCGCCATGAGGAGGCTCTTCACCAGGCCTCCGATCGGGAGAATTTGGGATTCATCTTGGAAAAGATTCCACTTATTCATGAACTCCATCGTATCCTTCCAAACTTCGTAGAGGGACTTTTTGTAGTCTATCGGAAACTCCCCGGCGTCCGAGGCCAGCCCAATGAGCCCGTAGACCTTGTCTCTTGGTTCCGAACATTTTGTTGTTCTGTGCTCTTCGAGAAGCCTCTTGAGAGTGTGCGAGTCGTTATATTTCTCTTTTCGTAGCAACCTGTCCAGCCTTAATGGCCCGGTGGCTCCATCACCGTTGTGTAGCATCATGAGATTCATAAAATCATCCCACGAGAACGTCTCATTTCCGTAGCAGACCCGGAGCTGCCACGCTTTACCAATCTCTTGCAATATCCAGAGGCGATCCCAGTAAGGGTCAGTTCGCAAGTGTCTAACCATCTTCTGCTGAGTGCTGTTGCCGATTTGAGGAGAACCTTCCCCTAGCTTCTCACTCTCCTCCAGCTTCAGCTCACTTATCATTTCTCTTTGAAACTCTGAGTACTTGCTCCCCAGCCAGACCACCACGGTGTCGGCCCTGAAGTAGATTTGGTCCATGATCCTGACTTGCCGGTTCCGCTCCTCCACATCACTCTGGTTGATGCAAATGGCGTCGATCCAAAACAGGTGACACGTCTTCTTGAACATGGCCTGACTGCGGAGGAAATGGAGAGCATCTAGAAGATTCTTCCCGACCTCGAATGGGTGGCCGTTCAGGGTAATGGCGTCGTCCGCCTTCTCTGTACCCCACATGTATGACAGTGCCTCGAACTTGGGCTTGCTGCCGAAGGTGACCTCAGACAGCGTGCAGACCACAGGGTCGCTCTCGTGTGCGGCCGGCTGTATCTCAACCAGTCGCAAGCTATTCTTGTCAAGCTCTCCCCCTTGATAAGGTAATCTGTTGTCTGTCTTGGGTTTCGTGCTGCCCTCGAGACTTGAGCCCAGATCTGTCCTCCGACGTGACTGATTCGCACTCATGATTTCTCGAGGTAGCGTCAAGGTATACAGAAAATAGTCTTAGAATTAAAGTGAGGTAAATTTTGGACATTGTAGGGGGAAGCTGATATTTTAAGACAGCTTGAGGAGGATAAGCGCCCAACTTATAGCCCCGCGTTGTTAGGTCGGCTTGTTGACCCAGGACGATTGGCGGGAAATTCAGCCTCGTGTAAGGCATTGACAAGGGCAGACACATCGTCTCTCGTACAAAAGAAGTACAGTGGATCGCTCGTCTGAGAAACCAAGCCGGCCAACAACTTAGTTTAACCTCCTTGGGATTGATGGGTGGTCGGCTGTTACCTGTTTAGGATGTTCATGTAGCTCAGTCCTGAGCAGCTCGAGATGATTGGTATCCAGAGAATCAAGTAGAACGCATATCTCATTTTTTGGACGAGTTGATAATAACAAAAAAAGCAGCTCCTTTCTTCTGTATGTGAGTATATGTACCATTGTTATGTAACTTGCTAACAATTCCTCAACGGCATCGTACAAGCCGACAAGGGCACCAAGCCACAGCTTAACTAAAAAAAAATCTCTATTATTATCGTTATCTGATCAATCTATGTCGTCTTTGACCGTACATCATATATCATAGGAAAATACTGGGGAAACTACACTTTCTTCCCTAACTGAAAACCCACCAAGGCGTGTCTCGACATAATCGCCAAGGCCGCCCCCAACAGAAGCGACACTCCACAGAACACAATCAAGCCGGAGAAATGCCCATTCTGATCATTTACAATGGCGCCGGCGATGGGACTCCCGATCAGGACGCCCACAGAGGCTACTGCGTAGAGCGAACCAGTACGTGTGCCCAACTTCCGCACGTCCGACATGGATGCTACCATGGCGGGAATAATGGACAAGAAGCACCCCGAGGCAAAGCCATACAAGGCGCCGTAGACGATGAGCGGTGCATTGGAGCCCGCGGGGAGCCAAAGGGCCAAGGTGACGACGCCGCCGAAGAGGGTGAGGAGGATCATGACATTGAAGACGCCGTAGCGGTCGCCCATGTGAGCGGGGAGGATACGGCCAAATGTGCTACACCAGGGCTGTTAGTCTGACAGAACATCTCCGGAAACGCTATAGGAGATACTTACGATGCAGCATTTATAATGGGGACCAAATAGTCGGCCAACCTCGTTGACATGCCTTCGGCCTTGGCCTGCACAATGATAAATGTAAACGGCAAGAAAGCACCTAGATAAATCATAAAGCCAGCCGCAGTGAGAAGTGCAAAAGGCCGCTCGGCAAAGGGTATCACGAATTCCTTTGCGTCAAACTTCCTCCCCGGCGGAGGCAGCCTCGACTTGACTGTGAGGTTGCCGATGATGAGCAGTCCGAGGAACAGAAACGCCGTAGACCGCATAGCCCAGCCAAAGCCGATTCGCACGACGAGGCGCTCGACCATGATGGGAAGGACGACGCCGCCAAGGCTAGATCCGGCGGTGACGATGCCAAAGGCGAGGGCTCGGTGGACGCGAAACCAGGTGCCGAGGGCGGCGATTGCTAACAGTAGCAGTTTGTTAGACTTGGTGGATATGGAAGAGGCAAATGGGATGGGATGGGAATGCTTACGGGCATAGAAGAGAAACGAACAGCCAAGGGCACTGCAGATGCTCTGGGAGAGGAGAATCTGATAGTACTCTTTGGAGATTGAGGTCATCATGAGCCCGAAAACATGGAGAAAGGTGCCTATTAAGACGGGGATCCGGGGGCCGAGCTGGTCGGTCATGTAGCCAACGAGGGGACCCTATCGTCATGTTAGCATCTGTACGTGTAGGTAAGTTCAGTACGGCAGGGGAAAAGAATCAGGCGCACCCCGAAGAAGAGCATAAAGGACTCCACAGAAGGAATCCATGCCACGGTGCTGGGCGAGTACGCCTTGAGTTGATGCGATTGGTAGTAGTCTTGGAAGATGCCGATACCTAACAACCAACACACATCAGTTAGTAAGCGCTGCATTGAAAGGTTGGACAACTTCAAGGTTCTTTAGTACAATTGATCCATCCGAAACTCGCAAACACGGTGCAGAACCCTCCTAACACAACCATCCACGCTTCGAGGCCGCCATCGGGTGGAGGGCCAAAGTCTGGCTCTGCGGAAGCTCCTTGCGGCTGTTGTTGCGACGGCGCCTTTTCGACATCTGCGGCAGCGTCTCGTTGCTGGAGGTATTGTTCTTGGAATTGCTTTTCGACATCGGTCGAGGAGGCTGAGGAAGCTCCGGGAATTGGAGACGCCATTGCTGCGGCAGTCTTGGAAACGGAGACGCGAGGAGAGGGCGATCTTGTTCTTCTTCAGAGTTGCACGACTGTCTTTGTCCTGAGATTCAGGACGTCGCGTCCTCTATATATCTATTCATCACCTTCTTCACGCCCACATCTTCAGGTCTTGCAAACCACGGATTCAAAGAGCAGTTCCCTGTCGCGCATCTCGAGCGATGGTTCCGAATCTGGTTTAACTGTACACCGCCTGAACAAAGAGCCAATGACGCACAGAGAGCCCAAGGACTCCATCGTTTTTTCTCCTCCCGGGAGGGCCCGCGCTTATTACGAACTCATCGGACATAAACATTCAGATCCCTGTCGAATCTGCTCGCTGCTTGGTTCCATGTTGAGTATAGCGCGTGTCATCAAAGTTTCCGCGTCTCCAGCTTTCTAAGCGCTGGTGTTGGTCCGCCTCCACTCAGCTCACTCACTTACATCAAATCTCTTACATCTCGGCCCATCGCCTTTTGCCATTGCCATTGTCATAACACGATGCGGCAAAACATTACGAATCAACTTCCAAACCATGGTCGGGATCCCGGGAAAATCAAAGGCTTGTAGGGACTGCAAGAGGCGTCGTGTCAAGGTACTGCTCACATGCTCCCACTCACTGCCAAACGCTTCCCTGTCCCTGTCC